GACAGAGATGTGACAATGATGGAGATGTGACAATGACAGAGATGTGACAATGATGGAGATGTGACAATGACAGAGATGTGACAATGACAGAGATGTGAAAATGATGGAGATGTGACAATGACAGAGATGTGACAATGATGGAGATGTGACAATGACAGAGATGTGACAATGACAGAGATGTGACAATGACAGAGACGTGACAATGACAGAGATGTGGCGATGACAGAGATCTGACAGTGACAGAGATGTGGTGATGTCATGTCCTGTCGTCTTGTCTGGTTACACCTGACCAACGACTGTACTGTGAATAAAACCATGTCCCTGTCAATGTAGAATCATGTAGGACGGGGTAGTGTTGTCTGTGTGTGTTCACGTATATTGTCTGCCGCAATATCCTGCTTACATAACTCCATACTGCCATGGCTTCTCTGTAGATAATGTATAAATCATGGTTGTGAAGACGCAGGGGTAGTCAGTAGGTATGAGGTAACAACAGTTTAGTAAGGCGTAAGTATAGCTAGTTTATGAAAATGAAAAACAAAGGTAAAGTAATATGTAATTGCAATCAGATAAGAGATTACATTAAAGTAGTCAAGTAGATTCGATTGACTTTCTTCATGACTCCGTTCCTGAGTGTGATATAACATAACTTTATAGGGCATTGACTTATTAAAAAAACATAAGCTATGCATGTAGTCAACATGAAACTGAAGAAAGTGCTATCTGTAATAATTAGCAGGGCGTGTAGGTGGGTATCAGAGCAGAAACAGCGATCATGCTCGGCTGTATCTTGTCGTTGCGTGAGATGAGTCATGTGGGTGGGGGGAGGGGGGAGTTTGCGGTGGTGTATTGATGGAATGCTGAAACAACAGCACGAGAAACACGCATTAACAATCCCTGGAGCAGGTGATGCTATTCCGCCCTACCTTACTATGACAGAGTTAGATTACGTGTTAGACGGGGTGGCTTGCAGCATGGGAGTACAATATAACCAAGAGCTAATAATACCTAGAGTGTACAACGGAAAAACGGGAAAATAGTGCTATTTCACGACATGATTATTCTACTTTGCCTGCGAGTCTAGAATAATTTTATGGTATTGCATTAAGCAGAATTCTTTGCTCTCTAAAACAAGACCAACCCCTTGTCAGCGAAGAGAAAGAGCGTTTACAGCAGGATGGTGCGACCGCAGTCATCGTACGTCGGTAAGTGAGCAGGCTTAGTCATAGCCGATAGTCATATAAGGCCAATAGCCATAGCCAGCAATGCTTACCGGGACCATCTCACCCTACCCCCCGTCTCTACGTGGCATTAAGTACATATTAGGGGATATCGTAGCAGAAAAGTCGGGCTTGGATCGGTCATCGTATCTAGGCAGTCTACTCTGCGGTATGTTTGCGTGTCTTACCGCGATGTTTGCGGCGTGTACACAGTCAGACCCACGCGCAGGAGAGATCCCACTTACGATCCTTCCACGGGCGATTCCGCCGAATAGCATGCGTTAGTAGCTCACTACACATTTTTGTCTGTTATTACCGAATGTGTCGGAAATAATGGTAGAAGAATTATGAATCATGCCACTGTGAAAGCGAGTTCATAACCTCGTGCCCACATAAAGGTGGGCTTGTGAGCCGACTCGACTGGAAGCAACTGGATTTCGAGCAACTGGAAGCGATCAGCAGCGACTAGTTGCGTCCAGTTGCCCACTGTTCTATTCCGAGCAACTAGTGGCAACCAGTCGCAGGCAGTCGCGTCGCAGTCGACCGACCTAAGCACTGCAGTCGCAGTGAATTGCAGCCAGTTGCTTCCAGTCGAGTCGGCTCGCAAGCCCAACATAAGCCCCCCTTAAGCCCACGAACAGCCTCCTCCCAGTCCGCCCCCCATGCTGCAAAGATAACAGTGTTTATATGCGTGGGAAATCTGCTTTGCTCGGCAAACAGCGAGGAGTGCACAGTCCAATTTTTATTCGATCGCATCGGCCGCAGCACGCGCATATTACGATGCATCCTCGTGCCTTGATGCTCTACGGATGATGCTACCGGCGCGTTTCAGCGATGACTCGTCTCACAAGTGTCTCACTAGTGTCGCAATAGTGTCTCACTAGTGTCTCAGTAGTGTCACACTGTCTTCGTCGTCGTAGTAGTGGAGGCAGTGGTCATGTTTGAGACCCACGTGTCTTGTAGCGGCAGAGAGAGGGTGACGAGCATGCTGGCGTGCCACGTCGGTAAGATTGATTCCGAAGATTGTCAGTGATGTTGGTGGTGAAAGAGATGTGACAATGACAGAGATGTGACAATGACAGAGACGTGACAATGACAGAGATGTGACAATGACAGAGATGCAACATCTCCTCATTGTACATCCTTTCATGGAGTCACATTCTGCTGTCCATCACCTCACATCTCGTCATTGTCACG